TGAAATGAAAACCCTTGGAAGAAAAGAAACCTTGGAGCCTCCTCCAAATGCACTTAATTAATTCACCTTGTCACATTAACATCAAAACAGCACAGCCTGGGCCTCATCTCACACCCACCAAGCCCAGAGAGCTCCACAGTGCTTCCCTAGGGCTGGGGTCATCGGCTGTGTGAATGAGAGCAAGATGCAAAGGACTTGAACCATGAGTTGTGCCAGTACAGCACAGTGCACAACAGGGCCCTTCCCCAATCCCTGCTGGGGATTGAAGTAAGGATGTGTAATGGAAATGCTAAGTCAGGGCTTGAAGCAGTGATTGAGCACCTGGTGGGAAGGCAGGGCCAACCCAGGGCAGCTCAGGTGTTTGCAATGCACTGAGTGACCAGAAGGGCTGGAGCCAGGATCCACCCCTGCCCAGACCTCATTTAAGGGTTGGCAGTGGAAGCAAGAATATCTTGTTGGAGATCCTTGCATGCCTGAGGCCTGCTGAGGGTAAGTGGATTCTTTCCTTTGTTTCTGAGTCTACAGCTGTTGCATTTGTTGTATCCTTGCTTGCTGTAGTCTAGGACTTTCCTACTATGCTGCCATTGCTGTGCTTTACATCATTTTACATCATGATACAGGGTATCATTATGCTGGGTGCACCCCAAGGTGATGCTGCTGACTTTACCTGCACTGATGCAGGCAGCAGCTGGTCTGTGCCTCACTACATCCATCTGGTATTGGTCATGCCCTGAGCCCCAGTCTCTCATTTCCTTCCTCCCTGCTGTTGACCCCAGCTGATAACCTTGGGAAACTCCCTCTGCCCCCAAGGAGCTGGGATGAGGAAAGATGTTGACTTTTAACCCCTTTCTGTGCTTCATCCCCCCTTCCCAAATATGATGACTTCTTCCCCTGCTGCCTCCTTCATGCATCAAGCCCATCCATCTCCTTGCTGCCAGAGGGCCCTTGCACATAGAAGCCTCCAGGACCTCTCAAAGCCTTTGTTACAAGGGGGAAGAGCTTCTCTTACTACCACAACCTTGCCTGCACCCACAGCAATCAGCTCCTCCAGGTGCTTGCTGCTCCCTGCAGCACAGACCTGCCCCATGCTTCAGTAGCTAACAGTGCAGTTAGCTTTATGTCCCTAGGACAACCTTTCATCACCAGTCTCATTAGGTAACGAAAAGGACTTGGGGTCCTGAACTGGGGCAGGAGGCAAAGCAGGCATCCCTTCTCACCTTGGCTTATGGCACTGAGGTAGTGGCACACAGCTGTGGTCCTTAGCAAGGTTTGGTCACTGTAGGGGACCGGGGTGCAGAGCAGTGACAGCAGGGCTGCTGCAGCTCTGCTCACTGCTTAAATCTCCAACTTCAGCCAAGGCACCAGGAGAAACAGAGCCTGACCTCTTCCCCTCCCAGCCTGCTCAGAGGAGCTCCACACACCCAGCTGGGCCCCTGGAGATAAACGCGGGGCTTTGATGTGAAGGGAAAGTGAGTTGTGCCATGCAACCCTTATCTGCCTTTTCTTTTGCCCTTGATGTGAAGGAGTAATGTGGGAGAATGCACTCCCCCAAAGACATTCCTGTGCTGTGGGATGAGGGGGTGGTGATCACAGTATGGTGACATGATAGGTGGTGGCCATTGCAGGGCCATGCAGGAGCTCGGGCACAACGTGGGGACACCCAGGCAGATCAGAGGAAGCTCGGTGGGGCCCTGGTCCCCTTGCCTCCTCCAGCAGCCGTGGGAGGCTTTTCTTGGCTCATTCCCATCGGCCAAAGGCTGCTGGCTCACATGGAGGCAAGCCTTTTGCACAGCTCTCAGCACGGCAGGGATGATCATCTTTGTGCTGCACAAACTGCCCTCGTTCCTCATTATTAACACTAACGGGGTGTTCCCAGCCCGAAGAATTACCATAAGTAATCCCAGCCCAGGCGCTCTGCAGGAGCTGTGCACAATGTTTTGCTGTGTCTGGGACTAAATATAGATGAGATGGGGAGGAGGAAGCAAGACTGAGGGTTGGGAAGGGGAGAGGCACACGTGCAGTTGTGTGTGTAGGGGGGGGTATGCTGCCTGTACACATTGCCTGTGTCTGCCTGCATGCTTAGGAAGGAGAAGCACACCCCGCTGCGGCCGCTGGTGCATTCCTTAGAGCTGCTGGGATCAGAAAATGGATGAGGGCTTTGGGGATCACAGCAAACCCTGGGCTGTGGGAGGCAGCAGGAGAGTGCTGAGGGGGTCAGAGGGTTTTTTAGGCATTGTTCTAAGCCTCAGGAACACTCCTACGCTGATCGCATCTTGGGAAAGCTTCAAGGGGAAGATGCACATAGCGAAGAGAAGCAGCACCGCTGGGTGACAGGAAGGTGGAGTGGGAGAGCTGCAGAGCTGAGTGCTTCGGGAGCACATTGCTAAACGACAGAAATAAATTCAGCGTCTGGGAATGGCTTCGTATGCAGGTTGGGTTGAGGCTGTAGGTTTTGTGTAGGAAGGGGAATAAGGATGTTGGAAAACAAACAAACATTGAAATACTTTGCATCAGGCCCTGCTAATGAAAAGTTTCTTTCTGGAGCTGCCAGGTGGTTTGTTTCCTCATTTTCAGATATGAAATGTGCTTTGGGAAGTGGTGAGTTCTCTGGTCCCAGCTTAAAGAGAGAGAAGGGGG